GTCATGACGTGTCTGAAGAAGTGTCTTGTTATTCTACGTATCACCAGTCCTCCTAACCAGTATGTCACGTGACTATTATAGTACCTCTACCCTCCTCTCCCCTCCCCTCCCCTCCCCTGTCACTCATTACCCTGATTGGGATTTTATCATGCGAATCTAGCATTTTTCTTTAAACCAGTATACACCGTATCGAAATGTGGCGACCAATTTGAATAATGTTTGTTCTTCATTGACTAAGGCACTGACTACTAGCCTCGAGTTCACGTGGAAACATAAAAGCGTTTTCACGTATATGAGAACAATCGTTATTCGAATTGGACGCCATATTTCAATTCGGCGTATATCGTGTGAGTTATTTCAATCGTGTTGTTTCTTCATTTCTTTTTTTAAAAATAGATTTGAAGATGAACAGCGGCAAAACCTTATTGAAGAGGAAGAACAACATGATAGCATTAACCAAGTACCCACGTGACGTCATGCTCACGCCATACCATTAGCCAATTAATACAATGCATGCATGACGCATACCTTGAACAGCATGCCAGCTCTTTTTCGTTTGCACGTTACGTCATCGCGGCCATGTTGGTACCATTTAACAAAAGATTTCTCATTAGCATCCATTGTTAACGGTACCACAATGGCCGCCATGTTTTTGTCTTTTAACTCTCTTGGGAATGCTAGCTTGCAACCCATCAATCTCTTCTCTAGGCAGAACTAGACACAAGACAGGAAACGTTTGAGATTCTATTTAGTACTTTTAGTTTTATTTTATTTTTTAAAACACTTTACACTTTAATGAATATTTAGATAAGCCAAATTACATTCAAAAAGCTTAAACATAGAAGAGACCTTTAGCATCAGGTTTACCGTTGACCGCTAGAGATGAGGCCCAGAAACACAACCGCAAACACGGACTAACATTCAGCATCAATGAAATTTAATATGGCGGCTCTTCCAGCGACTTTGTTATGACGACTTGCTAAATGTCTAAAGATTGACCATAGTTAACTGTGGTTTGACGGAAAACGCCAGACGTCGAACTACAGTTTGAGGTTTGCAGTACCTAGCAAGAAAAAGTCGTGCTCAATGTCTCTATTTTCGTTCCAAGACTGAGTTAGCCAAATTGTACGATTTTGGTTATGAGGAGGCTCTACAAGAATGGTTCAATAATGAGCCAGCGAGTGCGACGTCGCGTAAGTCTAGTAGAGTCCGTACGTAATCGTTGTAACGTTAAGAAAATGTAAATATATGAAATTGAAAAAAATAATTACGATACCGCAAAAAGCCCTAAAGTCACTGTAATATAAATACTGAAGTGTAGCTGAAGTCAGGGGTTTAAACGTCTGTATACGGACGCTGGCCACTCCTTTTTCCGGGAGGCCTTGGACTGCCTATGCTTGTCGCGGAAAGAGGGTCGTTTCTGATGAATAATACTACGATCTTAATTAGGAGAAATGACGGGTTTTGCATTAGGGACCGTGCGATAATTACTGCACTAGTCAACAGCCCTCCTCGGATCGGGGGTAATGTTTTCCCATTTCAGATCACGCATTTTCTTGAGATTAATATTTTTCGGGTTAGGCTTCACGAATTTGCAACGTCCACTGTGATTGGTTAGGTTTAGGGCGGGGTTGGGGAAAGGTCATTGTTTTATCACATCTTGCAAATTCGTGAAGGACGACCCGATTTTTCGTTTGAGTTGTATCTATATTCATTTGTCTTCTCATGCGCAACCGTTAAATAAAGAAAAGATACTCTAGGGAATGTCACATGGTCTGAAATGGAAAAACATTACTCCCGAGCCGAGGTCTATTGGAATCCCCGGGACAGGCGGATTAACGCAGCGAAACCGGGGATCTATTGACATGACACACACGCGCTTTATCAGCTTGAATGCACGGGAAGAGGAGGAATTACCTCCTACTTTCATAAGCAGGTTATCTATGGCGGCGATCTTAACGTGGGACCGGTAGTCGGTAGTTTTGGGAATGGGGTCGCATGCAATAATACCACGGTGCCGCGAAAGAAAGAAATATTAATTTTTAGACCGGGAAAAATAATAGATTCTTTTGAAACGCCACTTGGGTGTTAAATTCCCTGGCCCGGTACCGGGAATGAGGTTTAAAATTAAAGAAAGCAACAACAACGGGATTTAAGAGTGGATTCCTCAGAGTGGCTATTCTTCCACAGGAATTTAGAAGTTAGAATTTAGAAACTGATTTTTTTACGGAGGGAGGAAAACCGGAGTAAAACCCTATTTACACGAGACAGAGCCTGGCGGGACCATTTCCCCGTTTCAATTGACTAGTGCGTAAGTGGATTTCATTATGGTCACGGTACTGACTCGTGGAGCAAGATATTAATTATCCAATCAGAACCCTCGAACAAGGTGAACAAATAGTTGCAAAGACTGACAAATGTAAATGCCAAAACTTAATGATTTTATTGAACAGCAGACAATGCAGCACCCAAAGAGCTAAATAGCTTTGATATTACAGTAAATTATAAAAGCAATAATTTATCTTCACATAACCTCTAAACTTGTTTTTCTTTGTTCAAATGGGGTAAATCAAGCCCCACCCTTCCCTCCCATAATGTTTATTAGTGTCGAGACCAACCCTTATAACTTACTCTTGGGCCCATTCATAAAATTTGCAACGGGCTGTAAGAGTACTTTTTAGAACAAACACCTACGTTGGGCGTAGTCTTTTCCTATTGCAGACAACCTGTCATTCTCTTGAGGTTAAGAATTTTTTTTGAGATGTATCCAAATTCATGTGTCTTCTCATGCGCAGTCGTTAAACAAAGAAATAATATTTAAGGAAATGAATGACACGTGGTCTGAAATTGGAAAACATTGCGCCCAACTTATCAAAGAGGTCTGCTACGAAAGCCAAAGAGCTTTGCTTATTTATTTTCATATTTTTTTTCTGTGAAGGTGCCAACAACACGATAGCAGCTCTAAATGGTCTAATCAGCTTGTTTATGTGGTAGGAGAAGTGTTATGAGATGCGCTGTACTCCTGAAAGAAATTGAAGAAAAAATAAAATGAAATAAAACAGCTGTACGATTAATTTTCGCACGCGACAACTAATACATGCATTGAATTTAAAATACTCCAGTTTCATGTGTCTTCATGCAAGGCCACTCGATAGAAATCTATTCCAGCTGAGCGGTGAACGCGGCGCGCAAAGCATGAGTGGACAAAATTACAGGCTATAAGCATTTTTGGATCTTAAAAGAACGAAACAAACATGGCGATAAAGTGGAATTGTTTTTGGCACGTATATTATATTTTAGTCAAAGAAAACAGAAAAATATGCAAAAAATGGGTTACAGTAGGCTGACAACAGCTGTTATTACAGTTGAGCCCGCAATGAGATACTCTTTTGTTTTAAAAATCATACAAGTGAGGCTATCGAGTCGATACTTGTCTCATTTGCATCTCATTTTCATGTTTCTATAATATTTGCTATTATGGCTGGCAAAACAGCTAAAAGTGCTGTGATTGGCTGAAACAAAATTTACCGCTCAGCAAGGTTATTCCAGGCAACATGGCTGCCGTGTGATAACGTTTCATTCTTACCTCTTGTACTTCAGCTTCACTTGTTTCCACGTCTTCTGAATCAAAATCCTAACGAACCAAGAAGATAAATGTAATTTAAAAGTAATTGAACTCAAACCAAAAAAAACAACAAAAGCAAAAKATGCGTTATTTAGTTATTCCGTGGTAATTTCCGAGGGAAAAACTGGCTCGAGTTGGCATCGCAGGGCATTGTGGGACGTTTTAGGAGACATATTTCCATACAGCTCCAAAATAAAATGTAAAGCCAACTCGATTCAGTTTCCCCCTCAACTCGATATAGCTGTGTCCACTAGCTCCAAGTGGAGGTTGGACTTGATGTGTTCATATATTGACTGTATTTTATCGAGTCCAACTTGGAAACATTGTTTCGTGGTCACTCAAGCAAGTTCAGGAAAGGGGTGATTCGTTCGTGTTCTATAAACAATAGAACGACCATAGAAGACAAGAGAATGCATACTATGTAAAACAATACACTAATATACTATATATGTATTGTATTACATGAACTTGTAACCGGGAAAGTACTATACCTCAACAACGTATTCATCATCTGCCTTTTCATTCAGGTCCTGAAATCGTAATAAAACAACMTTACAGTTTTTATCACTCTAAAGTCTATCCAACCTTATCCTACTCTACAAACCATACTACTCTACTCTTTCGACATATATTATTCACATTGTTGCTATAACAGCGAAATCGTTTGCGCATGTGTGCATATCAGGACGATTCCCAAAATTCAAGACCGTTTTGGCGCGAAAACTAAAATGTTCGTTTTCTCCAAATATACAAGAACAAAAAATTCGTGATTAGACGTGATTAAACTTCTGTGAGACCAAGAAGACAATATAACATCTCAGCCTTAGAAGTGAATTTGCCAGTGAAGTCATTTTTTCATATCTATACAAAAGATAACATGCAAGCTATGAGCATGTTCAGATGCGTTTTTCTCGTATCTATTCTACTGCAGCTTAAAACATTAAGCCAAGTAAAAAAAGTCGCTATTCTTGGGTGACGTCACAGACGCCATTTTGGTTGACTTTGACAAAATATTTGGTCTTGGTGTACTTTTGTCATGCCAACCAGCATGGCTGCCACGTCTTTTGTCTTCTGGGGAGTCAGGATGTCGTGGTGGTGAAACACTCGCCTCTTACCTCTGAGGTCCGGGGTTCGAATCCCAGTCGCCCGCCCAATGTGAGCCGAGCTGGCTGGTTCTCATTCTGGCTCTGAGGGTTTTTCCGGTCCTCCGGTTTTTCCTCCCTCGTCTCAAATTATCCCTAACTAATTCAAACTGGTTAAAGCTGTGCTACGGGGTCATACATGGACTGTATAGCGGCTGCCAGAGGCGCCTTCACATTTTTTCAGTTCAACCCTGTTGAGCTGCGCTACTGCTGTACTTGCGGTGGTAATATAAGCAATGACAAGTTTTTTTGTCGTTTTATTTTCTTGGCAAGAGATGCACGTCACAAATACGTACTGCGTATTCTCGCTGCTGTCTCTGTCCTCTTTGTGGTATAGTGAATGGGACCTCCATGCCGTGTTTCCGTAGAATGTTACCCAAAACAATCTGAAGACCATTCCAGGGTGTTCCACCGTTAGCAATGAAATCATCATAAGCTTGTCTCGATCCCTCGGGATTACCAGCAATATCTAGAAATGATAACACATAATAAAGCAACACTTAGTAAAGTCAAGGTTGTCACAAGGATCAGATCTTCAGAGAACTTCTAGAATTTTCCCTGATTTAGGCAACAAAAAACATTTTCCTGAAAATTTTTTCATTGACATTTCCTAGCTTGCCTGGAGCCCGACCGGAGCTTAATATATCAGGGATTTCCGACTTTTACAGCCTGGAAATTGCTTCGGCAGTTAAGAAAGAACCCCTTCCCCAAGATTTGCAATATATTCAGTGTTCATTTGTAACACCCCCCCACACACACACACACACTAGCCCCCCACCACACCAAAAAGTATTTTGATTTCAATCGTCATTCCCAACAATTTCCAAAGTGTAATGTTAGTGCACTGGGAAGAATTGGGGGGGGGGGGGGGGGGAATGGGGTATAAAACAAGCAGGCTTACCGTATGCCCGGATAAGGTGGATCAAGAGTGAAGATGTATCCATATTTCTTCCTTCCAAGAATCGCTTGCATTTAAGAACTGCTTCGAACTGTATAGTAAAAAAGATACGGTTACGGTGCGGACACATGATGCGACATTGCCAGCAACCTTGCATAAGAAAGGCTGTTTTTGTGTCACGCGGTGCGATGTTGCATGCTTCGTCACAGAATGACAAATTACTTCGACTTTTGAAACGTCACACGTAACCAATCGCAATGTGTGTCCGCAGGTAGACCAAAGCATGAAATAACAGGAAACACGGGTGGTATGCGCTACTAATGCGCGAAATCTCAACGATGCGATCCGGGTTCGATTCCCGGCGGACGCTCAGTGCCTTAGGAGAGTCGGTTTGGTGGTTCTCTCCTGTTCTTCCAAGGTTTTCCTTCCGGTTTTCCTCCCTCCGTAAAAATCAACTACTAAATCCCACTTTGATCTGGGACTGAGACTGAGCAACACTCCATGCAATCGACGTCCAATAAATTTTACGGATTTACAAACATCAATTTCCATTTTTTTCCACGACTTACTTCTCCTCTGCGAGCAAATGGTGCGGATACTTTTCCATACTCCAAATGACTGTGATAAGGTAGTTTCTGTTTACAAAATGAATGGTAGATATATATCAAGAAATTATCAATGAACCCTTCCAATCATCCCGCGCTGGAAAAAAGCTAACTCACGTGACAAGACAGTGAGTGCTAAGGACATTCGCTCCTACACTGATAACCAGGGGTGCTACCATTTACCCGGAAAAAAAAAACCCCASAAATCCCGGTTGGAAAAACAAATGGTATGCGTCATTCCGATAGAAACTTCCGGAAAACTCGGTCTTCCGATCGACGTAATTCACTTTTCCCGCGTCTTTTCGGTTCTTTGGTAGACGCGTGTACCATATTAAGAAAGTCAAAGTTTCCAGCTTTTTTCTTAGCATAAGCAAACGAATACCCAACCGGRTGGATTAGCTTAAAAGAAAGCACCCCAGATTCCCGGGGAGATTTCTCGGGGAGATTTCTCGTGAATATTTCTCGGGGAGTCGTAATTATGGTGTTTATCGGGTTTGCTCCAGTGAGAATAGTATTAAAGGAAGCAATGGCCGCTCACCTCTAAGATCCGTTCGGTCAAATCTACTCGATCATATTTCAGACATACAAATATCAATCCATGCATAAAGAAGGTCTGTGAGCCCTCGGTACGTCCTCTGGGGATGTTGTCGAGGAGTTCTGCGATAACTGCAAGAGAGATAGAGCAAATATTAGAAAGTCCGAGGTTGAGGAAACACTCGGTCGATTTGGCATTTCAGTGCATTTCGGGACTGTTTTAGGGGAAATATTTCCAAGATGGCGTGACGTAATGCCAACTCGACCTACTTTTTTCTTAACCTTGAAATGTCTTATAGAAGTCAATATCCAATCAGCTTCGAGTAGCCAAACTAACGAATAACGTTTCCTTGTAAATGGTTGTTCGTAAGTGTAATTTAGTGTTGATGCAAAAATCGTTAATGATTTCCATTTACACCGAAATAATTGTAAATTCGTGCAAATTATTGGATGTTCTTGTCATGAAATTGATTCTCGACATATAAAGAGTGCAAATGTTTCCCAATTCAGACCAATTCATTCCCTAGAGTATCAATTCTTTGATCAACAGTTACACACAAGGCAAATAAATATGAATACAGCTCAAACAAAAGATCTTATTCGTAACGTGACCTGAAACGAGAAAACATATTTATGTGTCTTGTCATGCGCAACCGTTAAACAAAGAAATGATACTCTAGGGAATGACAGGTGGTCTAAAATGGGAAAACGTTACACCCAAGGTAATAAGGTCGAATGGTCTATTGAAAGTTACTCCTTATGAAAAATCGTTAATGAAATTGTATTAAGCGTAAATTAATTAAAAGGTATTTTCGTGTTATTGGTCTAACTATTCACATAAACCCATGGCTATTTTCTGCTAATGGCCAACGRAAGGTGTAATGTATCCCTTCTATACCTGAATCGAATCTTTCTGGTGCTTTCTCTCCGCAGACGTCAGCCAGCCCCAGGGACGCGTTTGTTGTCGGATAAGCATTGACACTTTTTGATTCTTCTAAGATACCAAGAGCTCCTTCGACGTCACCCCTAAAATGAATCACAACAATGATATCCATACTATCCAAAAAGCTTCGATTATGTTATGTCAGTAAAAATACACAGGTAATTATTCAAAATCTCGCGCGCTGATTGGTCGAGAAACTCAGATTATCCACGATAATCACCTCCAGCGATAATCCAAAATGGCGGCCAGCCGCTTTGTTGCTGTTACCGAGAAGAAATGTGTCTTTTATCTTCCTTTTTTCCTTCTTCTGAAAGAATCACCTGTGTATTTATACTAAAACAACTATTCACCTCAGGCTCAGTGAATATCGGGAATAATAATCTCAAATTCGTGTCGGTAAATATTTCCCGATGTTCACTTCGCCTTCGGCGAATAATTGTTAATTAGTTATGTGTATGTGCATGTATGTACAGGTTTTTATTGTGCGTATTATGTGTGTGCGCTTGTGTGTATATATTTCTCAGTATTAGTTCATATTCATAGATATTAATTTTATTTGAATTATCTTATTATTTTTATTATTATAATAAAAGGTGCTTGGAAAGCATATCAAAATCCCTATGCGTTTACAAAACTTGAAAAGGAAACAACCTTTTTAACATCTTGGACAATTATTCGCAGGTATCCATCATTGCAAGATCACCGTTCGTCTCGCTTCGATGCAAAGGCACGGCTACCTTTCAAGATGGCGCAGGGAACTGTGAAGGGGACTATAAGACCTCAGAGGTGAGAGGTGATAAGATATATCTGGGCGTGGTGACTTGAGGGAAAGGGGGAGGGCGCTAAAAAAGAGGGGGGTAATGTGAGGCCAATACTTACTTTAATAAATATGTATTCATCATCTCATCGTAGGTAAAACTGTTCGGTCTTATGTTTCTTTCTTTCATTTCCTCAAGTAATCTTCGCTGTGATTCAATGTCCCCTGGAAATATCAACATAATACAGAAAAATAAATAAGAAATGTAGGTTTAGACAATGAAGTTAGTCAGTGTGTCACAGCTAAAGTAAGAAAACTCTGAAAAAATCTGAACCCCTAATGGGAATAGCGTTTTCCATGGATGACGTCACCATTGTATATTATGGGATTAAAATGCTGGTAAGCCATGCTAAGCTAAGCGCACATGCTAATATGTTGTCTTGATGTTTTCAATTTATAGATGAACTATGGTTTTTAAACTGATATTGTTTTTCTTTTCCATATAGTCGAAGCCTTTTTTTTGCATGTTTCGTCCGCATATCGAACCCACAAGGCTTTGCGATATCTATTTTTAGTAACCTTGAAAAGTGCTTTGAACCTTCCGTAGTCTTGGCGTGCATGTTACGTCATAGCCGCCATATTGGTCGACAATAACAAAGCATTCCTCATTAGCTTCTCTTGTTAGATCAACCAACATGATGGCTGTTTGATTGGTATCCTCCTATTCTTGGGGTGCATGTTACGTCATAGCCGCCATGTTGGTTGACAATAACAAAGCATTGCTCATTACCTTCTCTCGTTATATCAACAAACATAGCGGCTGCTTATTCATTGTTATTCATATCTCAAGGGATTTTGAGTCAGGTGTTTGCTGGCTCTTTGAACGTTTTGAACTTTTTTAAATCGCTTCGTATCTTCGATAAAGGTTTTGGATATGACATTAGTAATCCAGCAAAGTTTTTTAAATAAGGGAAGTTCGAATTTTTGCCGTGCAGTAAGGGTCACGTGATTAAGTCCTAAAAAAGGGGACATAGAGGCTTTGCAACATCACGTGATGGTAGCCATGACACGAGGCAACAAAAGTCTTTTTTCCCTGGGAAAGTGCATTATTTCTAATGTAAATGAGACAAGACCAGATTCCTTTGTTCCTGCACAGCCTCTATTTACGAAAGAAAATGCCGTGAAGTTAGAAAGTCTGTGGCTTACCATTATGAGTGAAGGCACTTAATGCAAGTGTGTAACAATAAGTCGACAAATGCATTTTGTCACTGTTCTTGATTTTTTCCAAAATCTTCATGGCATCTGAAAAATACAGAAAATATTTATGGGCTCTTATTATCGATGGATTGTACCACATTTCAATTCCTTTCTTGTAAATGATTATTCTTTCCATTTAATGAGTATTTAATTTAACAATACTTCTATCGAATCTAATAGGGATTTAGAGGTATGTTATGAATAGACATGATGAAACTTACTTTCTACATCACCCTTATCAGCGAAGGCCTTCAAAAAAGAAGTTTCCAAACGGTACGATAGGATACCAGTGGGACCAAACTCCCTGTGGAAAAGAAAGTTATTTAAAATGACACAAACAAATAAACAGACAAACAGACAAACAAACAAACAAACAGACAAACAAACAAACAAACAAACAAACGAACGAACGAACGAACGAACGAACGATATTCTCTAGGTACAGAACTTACTCTTTGAGCTTGATAGCTTCATCTAACTGTCCTAACGCAAGGAATGACATCATGACGTACGGTATAGCTCTGTCCTTGGGCCTAAAAACAAAATAGGATGATTTTTAAATGTATGGCAAAGCTTGACAAGAATTCAATGGTACAGAAACCCATCTTCAAATAAGACAGCATCAACTGTGTGTATCTTTTACGGTGGAATAATGTCAATAGAAACACAAAGGACAATAGAAAGAATCTGTATTCAGGGTGTTGTCTCCATTTGTTGGTTCAATGTAGGCAAAGAAGGAATCCATCGAGACATAAAATAGTGTTTGTTGTGGTGCAAGGTATCTATATAAAGTGGGTATTCAAATTATGTAGGTGTCCATACAGAGTAAGTGTCCATATGGAGTGGGTGTCCATA